CAGTAATGTATGTAAAAACAACGCAAAACTACATTTATAACAGCTCATTCATAACAACGGACCTCAGGTGTTTACGAGACAGCTACACATCTACATTTTCAGTGCCCATGTGTGTGTTTGCATGGATACATACGTTGGCACTCAAATATTTGGCGTTTGTAAAATTTGTTTTGAATAAAATTAATATTTTTATTCAACAACAATTCACTGAACTGAGCAAAAGTGACAGTAAACACATTTATTAGGTTACAATAATTTCTATTTAAAGTCGGCATGAAATCAAATTTGACAAATCTTTTGATATGTAATATTGTAGTACTTATTAAATGATTTATCTGTGCATTCATTATTTTTTAAAAAAAATTCATGTACCCTTATAATCTTTAATGAAACACATTACCCTTCCCTTCCCCATCGAAACGACCTCTCTTCTATTTCGGTCACGTGCAATATCGAAAGTGTGCGGCCAGATCCGATGATCAGTCAGAGAATCGCATTCAAATCTGACTCCATTTTGTTTGTAACGCCCAAACTCCAATGATCAAATCAATTCCCGAAGGACGAACCAAGCCCTGCCCTACATTTTTTTCTAATTTCAGAAGCCGTTTCACTCGTATATACGACACGACAAGGAAAAAATGACAATCTCAACTTCCGTTTCACGCCGACTTTAAAAAAAGGACATTGTTGTGTTGAACTTTCTATTCATCAAAGCATCACAAAAATGTTAAGCAGCACAACTGTTATCAACACTGATAATAATTAGAAATGTTTCTTGAGCAGCAACTCAGCATATTAGAATGACTTTTCACATGATAATGTGGAGACTGGAATTCTAAAATTTTATTTTTTAAAAATCTCATTTTAAATGCAATACTGTTTTTACTGTATCTTTGATCAAATAAATGCAGCCTTGGTTAACATTCAAGACTTTTTCCAAAAACATTGGTGTGAAATGGTAAGAATGGTAGAGTATATGTCCAAAGTTTTCAAAATGTTCTTACAAATAGACTAAAACCTGTCGAACACTGACTTGAGGACATGTGAAGGGATCCTGGCTAACAAACCTTCAAAAGTCAGTGTCCAATATGTGTGTGAGTGTGTGAACGAGGGTGGGACCGCTGGGACACTGATCTTTATGCAATGTACTTCAGATAAAAAGCTTGACATTTACTTCAAATATGTTTTTGTGTCTTATCGGTGATGTAATGTTTTCACTAGTTCAGACGACGCCGGTGAGAAAGGGAGAACTAATGTGAAAAGAAAAAGAGATTACAAGCATGAGAAAAAAGTGTTGAGGTCCAAAAATGTACAAAAGCAAACAAAATCTTTGGCAAACCTATTCAACAATTAATATAAATATATACGGATCTTTAAGGATCTTTAGAAGAGAAACATGCATATCAACATGGCAGTAAAAACGCTTATTTTGTCATGTATTTCCTGATAGCTCGAAATGTTTCCGACAAACAAAAATGAATGCTATAACGTTGATGTTTTACGTACCAAGGAAATCCCTCAACAACACAGAATCACTGTGTTGAGATGCTATTACACTTTACATTTCAAACTACACCCCATACCCTAAGCATAACAATGATCTGGAGCCAGTGTAGACACAAACAGAGACAGCCGGTGTTATAAAACAAGGTGGGGGATGTCTGGATGGTACGACTCACTATATATGAGAGGATAAACCTCATTCTTCATGGTCTCTGATATAACAGACGCTAATAAATGTTAATGCATACATAACATGCTTTGTAGTTTCTGTCTATGGCGTATTGCATCAGTGACACAAATGATATCTTGAGGGTGCTGAAGCCCACAGTGGTGTCAGAAAGAGAGAGACAAAATGGAGCTGTCAGGTCTACTCAGGCCTGTCTGTGATCAGAGTTTGTCTCACATGGTACTGATAAGACATTAGTTTTCACAGGCCTCAGAGCGTCCCACTTAAGATGCTATCCTCTCTCCATTTCATCATCCCTCTCTTATAAGGAACAGATTTAACTTAATTCACCCACTTTATCTCTCATTTCATGGATGTCTACAGCCTTTGGGGTATGAAATTGTGAGAATAATTTGCATTTTGGTTGGCGGAGTGGGTGTGTTTGTCTGTATGGTTTCATCTTTTGATAAAAGTAAACTCATTCCCAAAATGAGGAACTTTTAAAGCAATCATCAAAATTGGATTTACCCTTTTGGCTAATTTCAGTTCTTTAACCAACTCAACTAATTGTGTGTCCATGAGATAAACGCATAACTACTAAAATGTCTGTTTCATTTTTTTATTAATCAGAAATAGTTTACCCAAAATCCACCAAGACTTTCATTTGAGAGTTACAGGAGTAAGAGTTTTTAGAGAACAGTGACTGATTTTTTTTTTTTTAAATTTAGATTCGTTCATGCTTTCTATTAAGCAGAAATCTCTCAGGTTTAAGTAGAAACATCTTCATTTGTGTTTCGAAAATGAACAAAAGTCTTATGTGTTTGGAATGAAATAATGATGATAGAACCTCCAGTTTTGGGTGAATTAATCCTTTTTTTTAATCATTTGAAAACTTAGAAGTTAGTGTTTAAATCAGTCTGATGGACACTGAATTAATTAGCTGAATCCAGAAAGGTCACTGAATAAAATGAATAAAAAAAAATACATAAACAAAAAAATCATGTTTGTGTAATTTACAGCAATAGCTGAGAGTTTTTTTTTATATGTAAGCAAAATAAACATAACTAAAAATGTATCTAAATTAATCTGAATAAATGTAGCCTATCAAAATATGAATCAAATATAAATTGGATAAATGAAATCAAATAAAATCAATGACTGACATCTAACTGCAAACATTGTGTGCAATATCTCATTTTGTTTTCCATAGAAAAAGCTATGAATATGTATTTTGAACACCACAAGGGTGAGTAAATTTTGCCAGAAATGTCATTTTATCATTTTAAGTTTCTTTTGCCATTAGCTGAGGGCTAAAGAAAATCCACTTTGCCTCACAGACAGGAAGTAGTAAGTACAGTTAGTGTTCAGCTACTACTTGACATTTTAGTGTACACACACACACACACAAAAACAACCACATGACAGACATACTATACAGCATTAACAGCCCTCAACGCAATTTAAAAGACACATTAAAGCTGAAACTGTCAATAAAAGTAAATTAAAGTTCAGTCAAATAAAGACTTGCCACTTTGGGAATGCCAACCACATTGAATCATTTAGCGGACCTTAAGAGTCCAACAACAATGTATAAACTACTACTGGGTCAGTGGGTACAGCTGGTTCAAACAACAGCTTAGAGAGCCCACTTTTGGCCAAATCACACAAGAGTCAAGACCTGGTGCAGTTCGGAGAGGACAGGAGACTCATGGCTGCTGGCTGGTCCTCTCGGTTACTCCCAGCACGACTCACAATGAGGCTCTGGCTGACACTCAGAGAATGCAGCCAAACACACACACACACACACACACACACACTCAGTCAGTCACAGAGCAAAGCAGCCAGAAACAGCATCCAAACACAGCTGAGACACACTCACATTAATCAGACACTCACTCGCACACACGTATACTTTCACAGTCTCACAATAGCCATCCATCCTGTTTCTTTTCTTTTGTCTTCTCCACAAGTTGCTCTCCTGACATTGGGACATGATTTACAAACAGAAACGAGGAGTCAAAGTCAAAGTGATATGTAAGCTGTAGCCAGGGCAGGACATTAGTTTTGAGGTGGTCTCCTTGTGTGAGCCTCTGTAAACATTAAATAACAAACATGGCTACCTCACAGACCCCAAACACTTGTGGATCATTTCTCATTCCAGATCATATCTAGTTCTGCACCGTGGCGTGTACAGTGTTGTGGAATAGAGTAGAGACGCAGCTATTTTTTAATTCATTTTTCTTCTCAGCAGTGCGACAGCAGTTTCCAAAATAGTATTGCTTTTTCCAGCAACATTTTCCAAAGAGTAGCATGATGAAAAGCTACATGGCTGCTTTGTCACACTGTGTTGTGGAAACTAAATGAGGAAATCTATTCTCTCTGAAGTAATTGAAGCTAATTTTTTTTTGTTTGTTTTTAAAATGCAGTCCCTATGCTATATGTTTAAAAATATAATGATATAAATTATTGAGTTAAATTCCGTTAAATGGTGTCTTTATATTGAAGTGTTTTTATTAACTTGGTTTTTACTGCATATTTACGTGTTTTATTTAGTATAGGTCTTTATCACACTTTGAAAAATATAACTTCCACGGTAGCCTATATATGAATGGCAGATGAGTTCCCATAGCATGGGATTGTTGTGATTTAGTGATGTACAGTTCATCACAGATACTTCATCTAAACACATTAATCGGGTATGATGAAAAATAGTGTCATGTTATTCAGGCGCCTTTTCATTATTTAAAGAGGAGCACACTACTTCAAAGTCCTCCTTTTTTTACTATTTAAGAAATGCAAGAATTGAATACATATGAATTATAAAGACTGTACAAACTGAATCATAGTAAATATGCTGCAACAATAAAAACAATAACATTAAAAATTAAATTCTGATTGTATTACGAGTATTCCCTTGGCAGCCAGCAAATCTTCATTTATCAAAAGACTGTGACAACATCGGTAACGCCGACAATCACTTCGATCACATAATGTTGCACATTGAAATGTAAGATTACACATATGGTAGGGTATGTAAGGCTAAGTAAAACGTTTGCAATATTGATGTTTTTTGTCAAGTTCAATTAAGGCCGGATGTGTTCTCTACCCAATAAACACTCTTCTAATTGCACAAATGTGTTTTACAACCAGATAGTTAATGTAGAAAACGATACATTTTCAAAAGTGTAGCTTGTTTATAAGTTGAGCTTCAAATTTGGGAAACTTAAAGTAGATTCCCCAACACTGACAAAGCATAGAGCACAGCAAAGAGATTGCTTCTTCACAACTGCATGTAGTTCAGGCTACAACTACCATCTCTAGCCAGTCTTACCTTCCTCACACTGAGATCCACTGTATCCAGGACAACATTTCCACTCCAGAGAGGTGATGGTGCGGTATACAACTTTATAGGATGGCCGGACCACAGTGCGATAGCTGCAACACACACATAAAATGTAAGTCTTTTTGAAAGTTTGTAACCAAATGACTCAAAAGACAGCAAAATCTTAAAAATAGAGGTTGTCAACAGAGGTTCCTAAAATGATATAAAACCCAAAGTGAATGTGTGCTGATGATAAACTTACCTTCCCCCATTGCAACCCTGAGGCCACCTGCAAGTCTGGTAGACTCTCTGAAGTGTGGTGCCATTCTGTACCTGACAAGTCACAGTCTTTGTCACCGTCTGAGGACACCAGTTTCTAAAAGAGAGATAAATATGATAATCAGAGCAATCTAATTGAATTGGATGGTTCTGATCACATAAGAATAATAACACACACACACACACACACACACACACTTAGGTGGCCATGAAATGATCTAATCCAACGCACACTGTAAAAGTGATCAATGTTTCGTTGGACGCCCACACTTCAACAGTCTAAACGTCTCTTTTGAAAACTCTTTATGGTGTTTACACAGATTAAATGACCCGTATGCCTGGCAGGAGAGCATTGTCAGTGCTGTTTACTTTGCGGCCTTTCTCTAGCAAATCACATCCGCCCATTTTTATTCTTTCCGCAGCACTACAAGCAGGTCAAGTCACGGAGGGGGTCACTGCCCCACATGTGTGAGCGTGTGGGCTCCTCATCTAGATTTAAGACAGCTTTTAGAAACCTGAGCCAAAACCGGAGCAGAGGCACAGTCCCTGCGAGAAAGAGTGGCTCTTTTGTGCTGCCTTTTATCAGGGCTTCACCTCACACAGCTTGAAGAGCCGAGAAACACTTCACACAGCTTGAAAAGCGACTGCTGGACAAGTCCCTGAATCAGGAGCCCATATATTCTAATCCAATATTAAAAAGAAAAAGTAACATTAATAACCCAAACAATGTCAGGAAAGATTTGACTGTGTTTTAAAAAAAGGCTTATTTAGAGAAATATGTTCCTACCCTAAAACATGCTATAGGGCATCTTCGTGACAGCAATGTAATGAAGAAATCCACTTAAGGTATGATTTCAGTCATATTTCAGTCTCATTATTGAGCGGAAAATGCAAACGAGAGAAAACAAGCCTGGAAGACAAAAGTCATCTGGAAAGTTTTCTACGGTAATCACTAACTACATAATGTGGAACCTTCTAATTGGGAAGCCAGTGGCAAATCCAGCCCTGATGAGGAGCAGACTAGAGTCAGGACAGATGAGAGGCGGAAAGTAACACAGAGAACCAAAACAAAGCTGCACGGCCCAAGCCCAGGATCTCGGCATATGCCAGAAGTCACAAAAGAAAGGAATGAACGTGGGTTTGAAGAGAAACACCAATCAGATCTCTTTCCCCCTGAGCTCCCTCATGATTTTTACACGGAATGGCTTGAAACAAAGGGCCATTGATAAGTTCACCTCAAACAGACCTTTGTATGAACCATTATGCCTCAAGTTGAGCAAACATAAGTCAAAGAGATGTGGAGCAGAATTCAAAGAGAGTTAATGCATGTGTAACATATGGAGGTCATTATATCTACTATACTTCAGTGGTTATTATCAATGGCCCAGCTTATGCACAGCTATGATCACACATCAAGGGCCACATGCTCAATAATCAGCATCGATCTGCCTATTAGAGTAGATTATCTGTCTGTAGATTTCAGGGATTGATGGTATCAAGCACACTTAAACATCTAGAAAACTATATATATATATATATAAAATCTGTTTAAGTACAACATTTGTGGCAAGACAAAAAAAAAATACAAGGTGACAGTGCAACTGAAAAGGAATGAATTTAATAATGGGTAACACCTAGCAGATTAGACAGGTCAAAGATTAAGCTATATACATTTTCAAAGATGAAAATGATTATATACATACATACACATATACTGTATATGAAGTTGTAACTAGATGTAACATTGCATGCTCACACTTAACATCTCTTGCATGTGCCGTTTCCCAGCCCTTTCCCAGAACCTGCTAAAAGTGGCCCACAGAACCAGCCCTCAAATATGCCAGATATTTCCAAAACCTATGTATTTTAGGGGATTTCCATGCCCTGCTTGAGACAAGGGCCCCCGGAACACAGAGTCTGGAATTGGGGTGACCACAGGCTTATCCGGTCACTACCTGCCCAACTGTTCTGCCCCAGCCAACAAACACATACAAACACAGAAGCCAGTCCGGTCACAGCTGAAGACCATGGGGCTATATTTCTGTGATCTGCTTGCTATTGAATTCAGAACCACAAATTGTACCCTTGCCCTTCTCTAGGAAACACAGGAATGCATATTCAGACAAACTCCATAAATACAACTGCACAAAAAAAAAAAAAAAAAAAACTAGGGTTGGGTATCGTTTGAATTTGAACGATTCTGATTCTGATTCCGATTCTGATTCCTTGTTTCGATTCCGGTTCCTAACGATTCTCGATTCCGATTCTTTTAAGAGGCAGGGTCAAAAAAGTTTAGCTAACCTTGCTAACCAACGGCCTTTCTGAAGGAAATAATCCTTTCTGAAGGAAATACTCCTTCTGTAAAAATACTCCTTTTGTCACAAATTTTGCATTTTGCCGAGATTTCGTTATTTTTAGAAAAGTGAAGCCACACTTTGGATCGCCGACGTAAGGTACTCATGTTCGACTCGCGTGGTTATGCCAACACTTCCGGTAGACGCTTCTTCGTTGGTGTTTTTCAGCGGTTTCTTCTTCCGCTCGGCGGACTGTGAATATCGAAACTAGGAATCAAAATTTTTACTTTTGAACGATTCCGGGAAAAACGAAAAATTAGTCCCGGTTCCAATCGATACTCGATTCTCGATACCCAACCCTAATTACAACACATAATTGACCCAAGCAGGCCATGCATCCTGAATCAAAATCCTTTGTTGTCAAGTCAACCTAAACATACACATACACACAGAGAGCAATGATTGGTTGAACAAAATAATGCAACAAAATAAAATAAAATACAATTTTAAGTTTAAGTTTTAAAGCATAATTATCCCATCCAATAAAAGCAACTTAATTTAATTTAATTTTTTTAAAGAATTAAAGTCGTATGAGTTTGGAATGACATGAGCATGAGTAAATTTTATTTTGTTTTGCGGTTTAGTTTTGGGGTGAACTGTATTGGAACAGTCACATCACCTCTGTGTCAACACACCAAATCATGTTAATTCATCTGAGTAAAAACTATCACATATAATTTGTTTCCATATTTCACCATGATTTCAGTTACTCTGAACTCCAGCCAACTGACTCTGACCATTTAGGATCATTTTAGCCTGCAAAATACTACATAGGTTGAATAGACACAGAAATGAGCCAAACTTCCAAATAGTAGGAGTAGGCGTCCGGGCAATGGGCATGCAGATAAAGATCGGCGGCACAGCCATCAGAACACAGTTCCCACACACCCAGCTTAGTGAACAGGGTGATTTGTTTGAATTGTCCCATCCACTCCCCCACCCACCTCATCTGATCCTGACTTCATTTGATACTTCCCCAACAGTAGGCCTACCTTCAATCTAAAACACAAAACTATGTAAAAATCCACACAAAAATGCCCTCTCCATTTTAAAACACCACACAGTGCATGGCATTCTCTGGATGTTCATGAAAACTAGATTCTGGTAACAGTCCAGCTCCATATGAACTAATGAGAGGATATATAGTGAACATGCAGAACAAAAGCCTTTCAATGGGAAATGACCCCTCGCCTGCTTTCTGAACAGAAAGATGGAGGCACAGCCAACTAAACTCTGCTTTGATCCAGATTTAAACCTTGAGGCAGGGAGAGACAGTGGGTTAAAAGTAATCCATTATTCCAGTAATCTAACATCTTTCCTTCACAAAGCGTTTATGAGGGGTCATTATGCAACCCAGTCACCAACCCACACTCTAACTCTTACTACTTAATTGTTGTGCCTTAAAAATATTTAAATATTTTGAATAGAATATAACCCATAGAATATTGTTTTCCACTTGTTTACATGTCGGGGACTATATCATCCAGTGAAAGGATGTGTATGAATGCATTTGTTTAATAAAATAACAGGGCTACTAATTTAACAGTGCAATTTAGAATTTTGAATAAATAAATTTAGTGCACTTTAAAATAAATAAATGGGAATGCAACAAACTGCTTCTAGCTTCATTCTCTCTCAGATATGCGGTAGGTAATGAAACTCAAGTTAAAAGGTGTGAATGCTTTCAACAGCCCAGCAATGCTACATTTCACTGGCATTAACATGCACTTGGCCAACAGATCGAAAGGCTGACTCTCTTCCTCACATACACACATGGGACCAGAAACCTAATAAATAACTCTGCATTGTGCACAGATCATAGTACAGACTGTAAGGGGGAGACAACTCAAATCAGAAAGAGATGGCAAGAATCACACAGAGCTGGACTGAGTGCAACTCAGCGAGCGGCAAACAAGGCAAAGCCATAAAATAAAAAGCAGCACAACACACACATGCATTCAGACTAGAGGAATGATCATGAAACGGTCTTGTTTTAGACAAAATGAAAAGCAGCACGCTTCATTTAAAGCATGAATGCTAGCTTTCAACACACAACGCGTGAGACAATGCTGAGACTCTAATGTTGACTCCCGCAATGTAGCACAGACTAGAAACATTATTGACTCTGGAGGCAAATAAATTAAGTTTGAACAAGAAGACAATAGAGAGTTGTGGCAGCTGGACAGAAGGGTTGGAAAGAGAGCATTTCATCATCGGGTCAGTAATGAAGCCCTCCTGGGATGCACTAGGGGGGGTAAAATAACCCAATTAGGCCGCGTTCATGACGTCCAATGATATAGGCAAAACAGTGAGGGACAAAGAAGATTAATGACCTGCCGAAAGAAAGCATCAAAAAGTACTTAAAAGAGAGCAAAAAGAGAAAGAACGACAAAGCAAAAATGAACAAGTACCCTCTTCTGTCCCTGAGATTTGCTCAAGACTGGTTCAAAGGACAGGTCAAAGGCCAAGGCGGGAGACAGTCCTTCTCCAAAGTCAGATTTAAGGACCAGTCTCAAGGGAAAACAGCCCTGAAGCGAATGCTATGGATGAGTGAGACTGCACATAGAAACACCCATAGATCATAAAGATGATCAGTGCATTCTTCCCTAAGTATCTCTATCCTCACACTGAAACCGATTCCTTGATCGATTGATGTGAGTGTCATGCTCTTCACCCCATGTGACAATCTTTATTTATATCTGATATCAAATGAGTAGACAAAAACAAATGACGTAAAGAAAAACATCTAATGTGTATAACCCATGGAGCAATACTTAAAGGGTTAGTTCACCCAAAAATGAAAATTCTGTCAGTATTCACTCACCCTCATGTTGTTCCAACCCCTTAAGACCTTCGTTCATCTTCAGAACACAAATTAAGATATTTAAGATATTAAGATCGCTCCTGCATACAGTCCATAGGCTTCTTGAGGGACTGGCTCTTGCTGTCCTCGAAAAGTCATTAAAGACATCGTTAAAATAGTCCAAGTGACTACAGGGGCTCAATCTTAAGTTTATCAAACGACGAGAACACTTTTGTGCGCAAAAAAACAACAAAAATAACGACTTTATTTCAACTATTCGTTTATTTCTCCCTCTGCGCGAGTCAGGTTACTAGTTTAATAGCGTAAGCTTCTGTTATTGTACGTCACACAGCATCACACACACATGACCAGCGTCGGCCAATAGTGAGCCTACGTGTGACGTAGCTCTACGCAATCACACTACGTTAACTGACTTACAGGCTCATGGAGAAGGAAGTGATAGTTGAAATAAAGTCGTTATTTTTGTTGTTTTTTTGCGCACAAAAGTGTTCTCGTCGTTTGATAAACTTAAGATTGAGCCCCTGTAGTCACTTGGACTATTTTAACGATGTCTTTAATGACTTTTCGAGGACAGCAAGAGCCAGTACCTCAAGAAGCCTATGGACTGTATGCAGGAGCGATCTTAATATCTTAAATATCTTAATTTGTGTTCCGAAGATGAACGAAGGTCTTACGGGGTTGAAACAACATGAGGGTGAGTAAATACTGACAGAATTTTCATTTTTGGGTGAACTAACCCTTTAAGCATCAAAGTGTTGGGCAAAATGAGGGTGGAGGTATGCTTGCTGTTGGTATTGATGGGTCAGCAGCTAAAGGTCCCTCTGGGGCCCCGAGTCTCACACTCCCACCCTGAGTGCTGCTCTCCAGGGCAGTGAAGCCGAGCAGAACAGGAAATAGCTGCTGACTTAACCCCCAACTGTGTTCAGCTTCACTGGCCCCTAATTAGACAGATATTCTAGAGGGGTTTTTTTCTCAGGACATTTATATTTCAGGCACTGTCTTTGTCACATGCAAAATGCTTTAGGGTAAAGGTTAGGATGTGGATCGGGGTTAATTATGATTTATGGCAAGAGTTCATATGCCTGTTGTGTTCAGCTTCTCTTGATGCTTTGGAAAGTAGAACAAACTAGGCTATTCCTCTGTGCTCTAGCATGGGAAACTAAGTTCTGTATTCACCATCATGGACTACAGTAAGTTTTAATGTGCAGTTTTAATCTATGTACAGTAGGACTATACATAGCTGAACTACAGTAAAGGCATGACACAATGTGTAATCAAATGTGTGAAGGATTAAACAGTGATGCTTATCCAAGGCATCTCAAAGATGTCTGTGACCCCTCCTCTCTGCATCATCACACAGCAGTGCAATAAACTTCCCTCTCGCAGCATGCAGACGATGCAGCTGGATGTGTTTAGTAAACACCGTCTGTTTCATCAGTCTTTGACTGACGGGAGGAGGGGTGAGAGATCAAACCTTCAGCACAGAGAGCAAAGACTCCTCCACACCTGCGTACTTCACATCCCACCCACAACAACTCTAAGCCATTTACCCAAACAGAGTAAATATTTGCATGAAGATACAAGGGTCAGATCAAGGCCATAAGCTGTTGTTACAGGTCAGTCAAGGGGGTGCAGTCTGGATAGAAGTTGGAGTTCTTGCATTTTGAATGTTTTGTCTAATGTCTTGCCTTGTTATGTCTCAAAAAAGCCTCATCATACACATGCACTAGAGGAGGGCAATGAGAAAGATTATATACGGATTAAAAAAAAGCACTGCTGATTATGTCTGATTTAGCATTTGCTTAGAAATTCAAACCTGTTAGTAAGACTTGGAATCATTCAAAAGCTCTCTGGGCGAGTTGAAATTGTCTGAGAACAGTGATACCAATCTATTTTCTGCATGTTTTAACTGGAATAAACCATAGACAAACATGCAGACAGGAGAGATGGGTGTTTCCTCATCTCAGGAAAGAGGAAACAGACTGTCAGACTCACAACTGGGCTAGTGGATACTATAGCAGAGAAATCAGCATTATAATTTAGATCCACAATCTGTGTATAAAACTGATAAATAGATTATCCTCACAGTGTATCAATCTTATTTTTATTATTTCTATAGGCCAAGCTACAGTAAATGTAGTAATTTACAAATTATCATTAAACTCTGCTGTGTTTCCTGTTGGAAATTCTATCTTAAACAGTTTTTTTAAAACAGCAGCAGCTGCTTTGTTTCTAGCTGCTTTCAAGCTGTACTAGCTGGCTTAAAGATGGTCAGCTACTTGACCAGTCCCCGTGTTTCAGAAACAAACTTGACCATCTATAGTTGGTTTATTCTGGTGTGCTAACTAGGATCAATTAATTTGACCAGCAAAAACCAAACAGCTGATATAAGCTTAAACTGGATTTTCAAACTAATGTTAATAAATGTGGTAATGTTAATAAATTCAACAAACAATGAAGTAGGCTAATATAAATTTACTGGTCTCAGCTCATTGAAGACAATGTCAAGTTTTTGTGGATATTTTAACTCACTCTGTATGAAAAAAAATTACTAAACTAGGCTAGTATGCTAAACATTACTCGAAGCAATATAACTGACAACTGCAAGTTATTTCTGTTACGTCACTTCTGTTATTATGTCATAATAAAACCGTACCTTTTCGACAGATCTTTGTGGAGTGCTGTCCCGGTCTGGTATTTGTAAACTCCGGGTCCCCACGTTCCCTGGACGCATGTCAGCCACAGTATCAGCAGCAGCGTCCACAAGAGGAAAGAGCTCCGGTGAACCGGAGACACCGAGCGCCCGTCACGCGCTCCCATTTCAGCCGCGTCAACTATACGGAGAACCTACTCAGCAAAAAAAAAAAAAAAAAAAAAAAAAAAAACTTCTAATATTGACCTACTTATCTTGCAAGTGCAACTGTGACTAAAGAACATATATAAGACTCGCAAGACTAATTTCTGAACTGAGGCATTAAAATAATAAAAGTCTTGTTTATGTGCACTCCAGCGTCTCAAACACGAGAGTTAAAGTTTCAGAGGATTGTCATCGGCAGACCCCGCCACAAATAAATATCCTCGCAAAGTTTGCTCAAACCGCAAGACAAATGTTTCTTAGCAGCCACAGACCGGTACCGCCTCACTCCTCCATCTCAGTCTCTCTGTAGGTAGGCTACGTTACGGTATATTTCTTGACTACATCAACACAATGGCCAAGAAAGCGGTTTTATAGTCGCATTGAGTCCCACAGCCTGTGTAGTTTTTTTTTCACCCAGCCCAGTTCCCTCTTTCTCTCTCTGTCCTCTCATGCAGCACTCCCCCTTTCCTGCTCTTCCAGTAAAAACTTTTAGACATGAAACAAATGGATTTATGGCGTCCTTGTTTAAGAAGCGGTTAATAAATGTAGTCAGAAGAGGCTAAGCAAATCCACAGCCAACAGAAATCTCAGCTGTTTCTCCAAGCAATATCACAAGATCACAATAATGTCTCTCAAAATGACCAGTATACCAATGTTTGTCAATCAAAAGTCACTATGAATCTGACATGAATGTCTTGTTATCCACATTAATTTTAAGGATCTCTTATGTAACATTGATTGTTTCACTGATGTTTTTTTTATGTATTTTCACTGGTGTGTTATTTATAGCTATATATACATATACATATATATATATATACACACACACACACACACACACACACACACACTCACCTAAAGGATTAGGAACACCATACTATACTGTGTTTGTCCCCCTTTCACATGATTCAATAGTGACTGATTGATTCACATAGTGACACATTGATTCAACAAGGTGCTGAAAGCATTCTTTAGAAATGTTGGCCCATATTGATAGGATAGCATCTTGCAGTTGATGGATATTTGTGGGATGCACATCCAGGGCAGTGAGGGCACGAAGCCCCCGTTCCACCACATCCCAAAGATGCTCTATTGGGTTGAGATCTGGTGTCTGTGGGGACCATTTTAGTACAGTGAACTCATTGTCATGTTCAGGAAACCAATTTGAAATGATTCGAGCTTTGTGACATGGTGCATTATCCTGCTGGAAGTAGCCGTCAGAGAATGGGTACATGGTGGCCATAAAGGAATGGGCATGGTCAAAAACGATCCTCAGGTAGGCCATGGCGTATAAAAATGCCCAATTGGCACTAGGGGGCCTAAACTGTGCCAAGAATACATCCCCGACACCATTACACCACCATTACCACCACCAGCCTGCACAATGGTAACAAGGCATGAATCCATGTTCTCATTCTGTTTATGCCAAATTCTGATTCTACCATCTAAATCTCAACAGAAATCGAGACTCATCAGACCAGCCAACATTTTCGACATAGCAATTCTTTTTTTTTTTTTTGAAAAAGTACAAAAAGTGTACATTTTAGAAGAAAAAATTGCTACATTTTAGAAAAGAATCGCTACATTTTAGAAAAGAATCACTACTTTTTCTAAAAGAATCAGTACATTTTAGAAAAAGAATTTCAGAATTTGAATTTGTCAAAAAAAAAACATTCAACCAAGAATTTGTCAAAAAAAACAAACATTCAATCAATCAATATGATCACTACATTTTCAAAAAAATCGCTACTTTTAAAAAATAATTGCTACTTTAAAAAATACAATTGCTACTTTTATTCCAAATGCATTTAATTAGTTATTCCAAATGCATCAATACATACAGTAGGCTCAGTCAATCATTACATTTTCGAGAAGAATCTCTATTTAAAAAAAAAAGAATTGATACTGTTTAAAAAAGATTTTTCAAAACAGAATCGCTACATTTATGCAAAATGCATTTATTAAGTGTTTCAAAATGCATCAATATATACAATCAATCAATACAATCGCCACTTAAAAAAAGAATTGCTAGGCTACTTTATAAAAAAAGTATCACTATATTTATTCAAATATCAATACAATCACTACATTTTCGAAAAGAATCGCTACTTTTTCAAAAATTGATACTTTTCGAAAATAATTATTAAATTTTTCGAAAAAGAATTACAAAACAAAAAAAAAAGTTAGGGTTAGGGTTAACTTCTGAATAGCATCCAGAAGGGGCCAAGAGGAGAGAGTGATACAGAACGAGAACCGCAAGAACATTCTAACCTTTCCTCTTTCCTCTGAAAAAGGGGAACAGGGGTTTCTGAAAACCACAAAACTGTGGTCCACGTCCAAGCTAAACACCTGGCTCAGCAGTCAGTATGAACTCCAGCCCACTCATCTATATCTGAGGTCGAGGCGACTACGCTCAGCGGACCCCCTGACAGCCAGAGAAATAAGCAAAGCACGGACCAGGGGCATCAATTACACGGCCGGCCAAGACCTGCAGGTGTTGAGAGGATGCCACTTGTCTTAGTTTGACAGGTTTGACTGCTGGAGTAAAGTGAAGCTCAAAAATTATCTAGCAGAATGTTAAGTTTTGACATTGGAAAGAAGATGGGTATTATTGCATCCTGTTTAATTGAACAGGCTTTTTTCCTTGTGCCAAATCCGAAAGAAAACGAAAGCAATGAGATGATGTGTGACATGTAAGATCCATGGCATTTTAGAAAGCAGCAGGTGCAAAGTCATGCCATGCAGGCACTGGAGCATTTCAGGGTTAATATAAATCCCTGCTGCTGAAAATGATCTTGGCTTCAAAAGAATTAAGGAGAGAGGCCGGTGGAGATTGTGGGAGCTCTTGTTTTGCTACTTGATTCTCTTTGTCTTTATCTACTGAGTAATGAAAGCTTAATCGAAAGGCAAAATAATGTTGATAACAAAATGCAAAATGTAAAATACCACCCAGCTCAAATCTGCTGAATGCAAGAAGGCATGAAGATATTCATCATGATTTTCTGTAAAGATGCTTTGAAACAATGTGTATTGTGAAAAGTGCTATAGACGTAAATTTGCCTTGACTTAAAAATGTTACAGTAACTCCTCTCTATTTCTTAAAAAAGCAAGTAATCTTGAATTACAATTAGACACTTATGATCAAAGTGAATGGAATCTATAAATGTTAAATAGTGTTTTAAAAACATGAGACTTAAGCAACATGCGTGCATGAATTTGATATCACTTGCTAATCTTTTCTGTGAAAAGTCTTATCCAATTTTACAATTTCTTTACAAAGACAAAGTAATGCCCTAAAATGACCAACTTTTCAGCATCAAATAAAGTTGTGATGTTAAATTATGTTCTTCCCTATTGTGATGTATATGTGATGAGACATTATTGGAAAAGGCTCTATCCATTAACAATTATTGTTGATTGCATGGAGGCAGATCTGAGTATAGCGACTCACAGTAACACTGTTTTCTGTCAAACAACCCCACTGAAAAGTGAGCTTGACTTGTATTGAACATGGAATCTTTTAGGCTAAAAGATTACTTACCATTCCAGCTAAAGATTGACTCTGTTTCACACTTTTTTTCATCCAAGTGGTTAAACACTCTTTATAGCCTTGCATTGATTGTGTAAACTTTTAAAAGTGCCCCCAATGAACACTCCTTGTGATCACCTCTATTGTTAATGGAGTTCCATGGTGCAAACATTGAGAACTTGTTCCTACTTAAAACATTCCCAAAGCAAGGATTTGCTGAAGAGAGGGCACTTTGTTCTAAACTTAGTGTTAGCAAAGCTGCTAAATATGTTCTACAATGTGTTGAAAAGATTTTGTCCCACTTAATGATAAAAAAATCGGCTCACCTGACCATAATTAATCTAATTAAAGAAAAGAATCAGCCAGACTCAAACAAAAGAGTAGAGTTAAAAAAAAAAAAAGTGGAGATATCCCAGGTGCAAAAGTTCCTTTCTGCTCTATTTGGTACAGATTTTCCTTTTTCATGGGCAAACTTTAAGCCTTCAGACGCAGGAAATATATATCAAGTTCTATAAGAATGGGTCAAATTCCTCTGGTGACCCAAAGGTTATGAAAAATGTGACATGTGCCAAACCAAAGCATAAACATATGCAGATCGGACATGAAAAGACAAGTTTCTTAAATTTATGCTCTCATACCTCTATCCTGTACGTATATACAGCACATAAGTTAGAGTCTGTCCACCCTGAACCTGACTGATGTGCTTTTTTTCTTTTTTCTTTGAGGTTTTGTTGGAGAATGTTCTGTTGAGGAGCACCATGAGTGAAGGGTCTGAGGGAAGCTGGTACGGATGCCTGGGTGAAACATAATCTAGAGAAAGAAATGTTAGGACTGTAATTAAGGAAACACAAAGCATCCCCTCTTTCTTCCTCCCCCTGCGGTTCTGAAGTCTCATGGGTGTTAGAAATGTCATGTGAAATCAAACAGACAGAAGTCTTAATTAGATCTATCCTCTGAGATTACATATATCAGGGCCTGGAGACTGAAGAGGGATCGGGGTGAGATGGGGTGCATGAGCGGAGCTGGCAGGAATCCAGACGTCAGGCAGACAGACAGCATCAAAGTTCAGGCCACAGGACACAAATCTGGAGTTTGCTGCCTTCTAGTGGTGAAGTACAACATAATGCAATTTAACTGTATTCTATTTTGAAAATTAAAAACAGTTTTTTATTCATTTTATTGTGAAATATTATTAGTCTAAATCTCGGAAGATATTTTTAAAATGTAATTTTTTCATATATCATAAAATCAAAAAAACAATACATATTACTGTAAATTAGATTTAATTTAATGTATGGTCTGATTAGTGATCTTACCACTTTTGGAACCTAATTTGTAGGCTAATGCTGAAAAAGATGTATGGATATCCTACCCATTTGTCAACTGCCCATACAGATTGTTATTGGGTAGTTTACCAAAAATGAAAATTCTGTCATCATTTAGCCAACACACTCCCTGAAAATTGTTCCAAACCTTTATGAATTTCTTTGTTCTGCTGAACACTATTTTGACAGATATTTTGACGAATGTCAAACAGTTGATGGGACCCCTTTGACTTGAGTAAATTACGTATTTATTTTTTATTTTTTGGTGAACTATCCCTTTAAGTAACTATAGCTAGTGTGCGATGTGATAGGCCTAAAGATCAGCCTACGTTAGCATTCCTCCTCATAGAAAAGAATTCATGACTGGAAATAAACGAAAAGCAAACATTTAACGACAGATATTCAGATGTTCTTTGTTGTTCTACAGAATTCTACGCAGATATGATTAATAAATGAACAGTTGCTGACTGACAGGAGGTTGGTGTATGGAAAGTTCTGACTGCATGCAGTCAGTAAACTGATGGAATCATCTGACTCTGCATCTGGATTGGTGAGTCTGTCTCTGGCTGCTCTCAGAATTGAATTTTACAGGAGCATAAAGCAAACTCCGGAAGCCTGGGTAGCACATCAGTTTATCATTACAGATCGTAAAATGGAGACGAGTCCCA